TGTTTCGGTCAAAGGAAGAGGAAGACGCTGAAAGTTTCGAAATTTTGACCTCAAAAGAAGTGGGTCGATAGCAGTGCAGGGAGAATGTATTTGGGTAGGAAAGGTTTTGAGATTTGTTTTCTTGAAAGAGGATGCTGATAGCAATGGTGAAGTGGTGGCCAATGGTGAAGTGGTGGCCAATGCTGATGCAGCCATTGTGAAAATAAGAGAATTGGAACTACGAGAACTAGCTTTAAGCATCCATCAAGAAAAGGTTTTAGGCAGGAAGGAATTGGGAATCTCGGATTGTTTTTTAAAATGGTTGGAATTTCAGAAGCAGGCGGCCATAAATGCGGGGAAGATTAACCAAAGCTCCCTGATTTAGTAAATCCAAAGTCTAAAACTATGTTAACAAGCTAGTGCTATCCTAGTGATAAAATGTGAATTAACCTAAAAAAAATTATTTTTATTTAAGATTTTTGTACATTCCCTGCAAAAAATAACCTTCCCACGTCAAGATTCTTATAAAACTCATCCGTAGTCAGAATTTTGAAAAATTATATCCTCACATAAGATTTTAAGAGTTTTGCACATTTTAAAGTCATAATCCACTTCTAACATACTCACATGATCTATCAAAATTATAATTAATAATTATTTATTCTATTAGACTTATCAACTTATAATTAGACACCATAATCTTATGTCCGACATCTAAGAATAATAACTTTAAAACCTCTCAGACGAGATTGAGAAAACAATTTAAAACCACACTCACTATTTCATCATCCTCTCCCCTTATGGAGATTGAAAAACTTCATATCGATCAATCACTGTTTAACTATCAGTTACGTTTCTTTATCAAAATCAGAAATAGTAAATTGTCTACCATCATTACACTCCATTTATTCCTATCAACAAGATTTAATTACATAATAATTCAATTATTACAATCAATTGATTTAATGATTAAATTGTGACTTTCAGAATTGTGTAACCCTAGTAATGTAGTGATATTTGGTGTAATTTAACCAACAAAAATGGTATACCCATCAAGGCTTGAGGCACCAAAAATACATAGAATCTCATTTGAACCAGAGTTGGTAACCCAGACCAACTAAAAACCCAGGCCCAGAAATAACGATGGAGCCTAAAACCCTTATTCACGAAGGTATATATTTCTCATCATTTGCAGGAAGCTTTTGTTGGAAAAGGCTCAAAGACCATTTAAATAAGTACAACAAATCCACCTCTTTAGAACTCTTAGGCCTTGGGGCCAAGAAAACAATATAAGCAACAGAAGATGATGATGAATGCTGCAGTGTCATTTATAGGAGGGACCAACGGCGACAAGAAAGGTTTGGCCGCCACGGTGACAGCCAACCCAGGAGAGCTTAAGCTCCGAGCTGCTCTATCGGACACTAACTTCACTGATGGCTCCGCCGTAAAACCCGACAACATTTTGCTCTCAATTGAGAAGCCCGGTTCTTTCACCGTCGACTTTGACATCCCCAAAAAGGTGTCGAATTCCTTTCTTCTACTCTTTCAAATTGCAATATTTTTTAATGTGTCAGAAAAAATGTAATCTTTTATTTTATATTTGTAAAGTTGTTTCGTTTGCCTTGTTTTTTTTTCCCCGTCCAGGATGTTCAGTTTCAGTTCTTGAACACGTTTAAGGTGGAGGGTAAACAGGTGAATTGGGTATATACTCACTCGAGGAATGAAAATCGGACAGTACTGGATGGGACCCTGTTGTTGGATTCAGCCAACAAGATATCTGCAAGCCATGAACTTGGTTCTGTGAATTGCAAGTTGAAGTACAGTTATGTGCATAGAGGGTTTATAACCTTTGAACCCTGCTATGATTTGGCCAACAATTCTTGGGACTTGGCCGTTTCCAGGAGAATTGGTGTTGCTGATCTAATCAAAGCTACATATGAGACATCGAGTCGGGTTTTGGGCGTCGAGTTGTCTAGTAGCTCATTGGTCAATGAAACCGGAAGGCTTAAGGTATTTCACTGGCCTTTTGTTTCGGCTCTTATGTTTGATTGATCGTTTCTTTTTGTAGCAAGTTACCTTGATTGATGAAAGTAGTTAGTTAATGATACGTTGGCTCAAATTGTCTAAGGTGTATGAGGAATCTTTGGAGGAAATTGATGTTGTGCAATGTTTTCGAAGTCGCTCAATAGTAGCCTAACTTTTCTAGCAAGGGCGAGATTCATCGACTGTAATCGGCATTGTTTATAGCCTGCATCTGTATCAATCTGCCGGACCTTTTCAGTCATGGTCCTTTTTATACAAAGGAGGAGTTATGGATGCTGGAATTTGAACCCGAACCTGCTAGATACGATCCCGTAAGGGTAGCTGCATGAACGTACTGAACTAAGCCATGGGTTCTTTCTTCCTGGTCTTTGAAATATAGCACAACAAACATTAATAGGTTTATCATAAAACATGTTGCCATGACATAAATTGGACCTCTCAAATTATTGCCTAGCTATTTCCCCATAGATTTTACTTAAACCTCAGCTGTTTCACATTATTATAACAAAACCAGTATGGGCAGTTTTCGCTTGCTTTGTTGCTTTTATTCAAAGTTGACTAGATTCAGTGGTGCAACACTTTTTCCTTGTGTTCTAGCACGAGCAGTTAAAGGGGAGGATTGACCTTTCTGTAACTAGTGCTTAGGTAGGTTACAGCCTTACAGGGCATTATAAGCCCAACCAGTCATCTGTTATGAAATACGTATTCCAAAGTTACCACTGAGCCAGGGTTGGCTCAAATAGCCTTCCTCTATTCTTGATAAAGGAGGGATTTGATCTTTAATCATCGGGTATATTCTCCAAAGGACTTTAATTACTATGTTAGCTGATGCATTCCCCAACTTCTATTTTATCTTTCTGCAGTTTCAAGTTATCTTCTTAATGTTTTCCGTTAAAGAGTTTTCTGGTGCTCTAGATAATATTTGAAGCTGTTGATAGCATTGTTAACTTCGCTCAAGTTCTTTACTTGGATTATTGCTTTGTTTTCAAACTGACCAAGGCTCTAAAATTTGGCCATTTAGGTTTCAGCAGCTTTCAGTCTGACAGAGGGCTTACAGTCGCCGAAACTAAGTGTCGAGAGTATGTGGAACTTTCCGGTGTAGTCTCTCAATTACAGGCTTCATTTTTTTTGCAACATATAAAACCCGGTAGTGATAATATGCTGTGAGACTGTGCCTTGTTCATATGAGATCCACTTCAGGTAGCATATATTTACTGTTGGTATTAGTTTACCTACAAAAGGAAGAGCAATGGCAGACCTAGAATTATTCTCTATTACTATTCTTGAGCTTTTGTTATCTAATAGGACAGTCTGTCTCGGCTTGTTCTTTCTTTTACAGTGCTATTGCTTTGAGAGTTGAGTTCGAGCTCAAACTCTTATTTTTATAGTTCGAACTCAAATCTCGAGCAAACCGAATTGCTCGACTTTACCTGATGAAGCCAAACATCAAATACTCGAACCAAACTCATTTGATAAAACTCCACTTGTCGATAGAGGTTTTTTCAAAATGAAAAATCCAAGTACTTTTTTATCATAGACATCTTGTTTACATCTATATTTTTTACAAGTAAAATGAAAGATGGATTGAGAAAAATCAGCTGCATTTACTCCTACATTGTCTTGACGCTGAGATGATGACTATGGATTTAATCTAACATCACAGGAGAATGGTGCTCATAATATTCATAAGTAATTCATGAAAACTAACAATTTTGTATGATGGTAACATACATGGTCATCAGACAATGAAAAACATACATCATATCTTCAAAAGTACACAAAAAGTAGTATCATTTGGCTTTTCCATCTTTCTCATTGTATTCACTGGGGATGCTTTTTCGGATATCCGGAAAATCGTATATCTAAAACTTTGGATCAATAATCTTATTTGATATGGAAAAATTGGATACTTGATTTTTTAACATGTGACATGGTTTAACACAATTTTCTGGTTTGCATTTTACAACTTTCACACACGTTTTCTGATTGAAAACGTAAGGTATATATTTGGAACAAGAGGCCCACAATTGTTTTCTAAAATTTCGGCTGTTTGTTTCATTGTAATTGATCTTTTTATAAAACATTTTCTTTATTTTTTAGTATTTAATTCAAGTGAAATTGATGGTTAATGTAAAATCAATTATAAGTTACCCAAAAAACACCAACGATTTATCGTGGTTTTTTTTATCTTCAATAAGTCATTTTCTCACTGCAGTCTGCATTTACTATTTTTATCAATTGATTTACGTCGATTAAGTTTATGGAAAAAAAATCAACTCACACCAATGTAAATAAATTAGCTATATTTTTATTTCAAGTATTTGACACGTCAAACAAGAAAGACCAAAGAAAAAATAATTTACATCTATATAAATAAGTTAATAATATTTTTTCTTTATTAGCTTACATCAATATAAGTAAAATTGAAAAAAATAACTTATATTAGTCTTTTATTTTTAGATTTTCGAATAATCTAAAATTGAAATTAATCCAAACTGTATTTAATCTAATTTGAATTATCTTAGAAAACATATCAAATATTATATATTGGACCACCAGATAAATGAATCATATTATTTTTCACAGCCCTAGCGTTCACCAAGTAGTAAGAATGAGTATGCCTCATTCCACGTGAACAGAAGGGGTCATTCATTGTAAGTAATAAACATGAAGGAAGTGAAGTGGGCTTCTTCAAGATTCTAAGCCGTACGGAGATGTAGGCCCTAACCCACCCATAGTCCGTCCGCTGATAAACTAACCGAAACACATGAACAAGATGGAGACAGCTACAAAGGATACGTCATCACCCGGTAGGTCCACGTATATCCCAGCGGGTCCCGCCATTCGGCTCTCACTTTTTTTTATTAAACATTTCCTCTTCCCGATCACACTCGCCCAACACGTCTCCTCTATCTGCTGCCTAACAAACACTGAACAAAAGAAATCCCAAACACTCTCTTCTTAACAAATGCTGCGCCTCTGAAAAATAAATTTTCAAAAAAAGAAATAAATTAGGGTTCCACACTTGCTTTGTTTGAAGAAAGGAGATATTGATGGACTCGTCAACGCCTGTTCCTTCGTTGCACTTGGCGATGGCGGCGTTAGTTGGAGCTTCGTTAATGGCCGTTTCCGCTTTCTTTATCCACAGACGCAGCGTCGACCACGTCATCGATCGCCTCATCGAGATCCGCCGTGATTTTCCGCCGCGGGTTAGACGGTCTCGGAGTCGTGTCGTTTCCGATGAGGAAGAAGAGGATGAAGAGGTGGATTACGGACGAGATGATAGACTACCCGAAGTGGATCGGTGCCGGAACCATGGAGCGAGTGAGGCTAAGTCTTTTGATAAGAAGACGGAGGTGTCGATGAGTTCCCGCATTTCCAGCTCGATGCCTAACGTGGCTTTGCGTAATGAGTGGTTCGAGGAGGATGCTAAGTTTGATCAGGCTGTGAGGGAAAGAGTTCAGAATTGCTCTGCTTCCTCGCTTGAGAAGCTTAACTTTATTCCTTCGGGTCTTCCTCCTCTTGAAACGTCTGGGAGAGGTAGTTTCTTTATTTTAGGTTTAGAAGCACTGTTCTTTTGTTGTCTCCCCCCCAACCCACCACCACCACGTCGTTACCATAACAGTCGAAACAGCGTTTGAAGATAATCGTTATGGACTCCTAATCAAATTTTGATGAAATGCGGATATGTATTGATTAGAAGGCATAGTTAAATGCCACATTACTGAAAGGAGTTTGAGTAGTTTGCTAACAGTGGGAGGGGAAGTAGAAACTGGAATTGAAGTAGAGTTAATGTTGTAAACATGACTTTCCTAAAACTGTCGCTGAGTGTTGAATAATGAAAATCATAAAATTTGATTACAAATGAATAAACAAATAAAATTAGACTATCAGTTCTAATAAGATTTTCTTCTATTCTTAGATTAATGATGCATCATGTTATCATCATCATTATTATTATAGTGGAAAGTGACTGTAAAATTGTGGTGGATTGGATAAATTTGTCTACTGTCTCTACCTGTTTTATCAATCTAGTCAAGGAAATAGAGACCCTCGTAAAGATTAGGGAGATAATCCTTGGGCTGATTCCTAGATGTATTAACTGGGAGGCTGATAAATTAGCTAAAGAAGGGATTGGGTGAATTATAGGGCACTTCTGGGTGTTCTAATTGTATTAGAGGGCTGTAGTTTTGGTATTGTACAAGGAACGGTGTCTTTCTTTGGGTTTTTAATAAATCAGAGGTACTCTTTTCCTCCTTCCGCTATTTGTTCCTTTCCCTTGTGGTATGGGACAACTATGAAGGGGATTTTTAACGAGACTTCCTACTTCTATATAAAAAAATCATTATCATTATTATTATTTCTAATTCTCTAAAGAATTCGTTTTCTTTTGCTTCCAAAAGTATTTTTCTTCTTTGTTCTAAGAGCAAAATGTAAATTGTAAAGCAACTGCCAAATGTACCTTTAGGAATCAGCTCTTGGCTTGATGCATATCGAGAATTTTGGGAAAATGGTTCTGGGAAATTTGCTAAATGCTGTTGCAATGTTTCTTACATTAAATATGCTACGTTCTTCTTCTTTATTATTATAATTATTTATTTATTTATTTATTTTTGTGCAGGAGAGAGTAAAACTTTCAGTCACGGTGGTTCCACTACAAGGTTGGCTACCTATGGTCGGCTAATGACTCCAAGGTCTCCTGGTGGCAATGTTGCTGGGGATTCTGACGATGAAGGGACAGAGGCTGCAGATGAGGATGAGATTCTTTTTGCCAGCAAAAATATTGATGTTAATGCAAATTTATTAAAGGTGAGTGTACTTCCAGTTCTGGTGTATCCTTCAGTTTCATGCAGACACCATTTCTTATAATACAAAGGAAAATTAGTTTCAGTAGACTTTGTTTTTGAGCATATAGGTTTGCTTTGACTCAGGTTTAATGGTTTATCATTTGAAGAAAAAACTATGGTGAATTGTTAGTTACTAATAATTAATCAAAAAGCTGTGGGTATTTTATTCATCTGTTATTGGTGAACTTACAGGATGTTGCTACAAAAGTTCAAAATTCCTATTCTGTTCCGATTAGAGGTGATAGTGTGAATCGTGTTCAGGACAAGACTTATAAAGCTACTGGGAATGAAGAAAAATCTAGTGTTAATATTGTTGGAAAGGGAAACGTGGATTCATCTTCAGTTGGCATATTTGAGAATGATCATGTTTTTGCAAAGACTAGTTTACTTCCTAGAAGCACATTGCATGGTAACATAACTTATCTAAATATAATAATTTCACTATTTATCGTTGTTGTATTTTTGCTTTCATATTTAGCTAGTTGTATTTCTCCATTGCTTTAATTTTTGAACTGGTGTCTTGGACCTGTATTAACACATGTTAGTATGTTACCTCTCTATTAACATTGATCAAATAAGATCAACATGCCAAGTCAGAATTAGTCTTTGCTTACTGAAGGTGCTTGAGTAAGAACACTTCAAAATTGATCATTATTCTGCTTTTAACAATCTCTATTCAGATTCAACAAATGTAGAAGAGGAGGAAGTAAGGAAGATGGTACAGGAGTGCTTGGAATTGCGAGACAATTATGTTTACAGGGAGGAGATTGCTCCATGGACAAAGGAACCTGTGAAGGAACCTGGCACTCCAAAGGCGAGATGTGATCCATTTCACTTTGAACCTGTTGAAAAATCAGCGGTGTGTTTCTTTATTTAGATATTGGTTGGAAACAATATTACAACATTTTCTGTTGCACTCATTGAAGCAACAGTGATAAAAGTATTTTCTTTTGTAGTTTAAGCTGTTTTTTCCCATTTCATGCAGCATCATTTTAGGATGGAAGATGGAATTATTCATGTTTATGCAAGTGAAAGTGGTATGTACCATTTGTGTGTTCTATATTAGTTTGTCAACAATGAATCTGATTTATTCAATTAAGTCTTTTTCTTGAACTTGACAAGGTTATGTTGAATCAGTTTTGTGCCGAAATCTTAATATCTCCTAGGAGAATAGAGTCTTTAGTGTGTGTGGGTACAGCAACAGGAGTTCTTTTAGTGTGACACTGTATAACATGGATGGTCTCTAAAATGTAATCTATTGGAAATCATGCAAAATTTACATAAACTATTGTTATATGCTTGATCCATGTGTTTACAATACTACAGTTATTTGCTTTGATGAACCCTAGAACAGTAAATCTGTTTATGAATTTTCAGACACTGTTGAGCTTTTTCCTGTTGCGAGCTCAACAACATTTTTCACTGATATGCATCACCTCCTAAAAGTCATGTCAGCTGGAAATGTTCGCTCTGCTTGCCATCACCGTCTAAGGTTTCTTGAAGAGGTAGTGTTTTTACCTTTAAATATATTTATCCACTTTGGGTTGTTTATGCAACTAACAACTGAATGCTGCACAGAAGTTCCGCCTTCATCTGTTAGTAAATGCAGATAGGGAGTTTTTGGCTCAGAAGAGTGCACCACACAGGGATTTCTACAATATCCGGAAGGTTGATACACATGTGCATCATTCTGCTTGCATGAACCAGAAACATCTGCTTAGCTTCATCAAATCAAAACTTAAAAAGGAACCTGATGAGGTTGTTTGAATTCCTTTTTATTTTTTAATTCAAGCATCCTGTGATTTGTTTGAAAGCATATAAAGGTATGGATCATAATCAAAACAATCCTAAATGAAACTGGTGCAGGTTGTTATATTTAGGGATGGAAAGTATATGACGTTGAAAGAGGTTTTTGAGAGTTTGGACTTGTCTGGGTAGGCAAAACTTCGGTTCTATTCTCTTCTATGTTTCAGAAATTTTCTTTGATTTATTTCAACTAATGTTTCATGTGTCTTGTATTTCAGATATGATCTCAATGTTGATTTGTTGGATGTTCATGCTGATAAGAGTACCTTTCATCGATTTGACAAATTCAATCTTAAATATAATCCTTGTGGGCAAAGCAGGCTTAGAGAGATCTTTTTAAAGCAGGACAATCTTATACAAGGTTTGACAACTACGCCATCACAACTCAAGCTTTTAGTTTTTCATTATCTTTGGTCAGATAGCTTTCTTCTTTTTCTTACTGGTAACTGATACAATCACTCAATTTTGATAATTTTCTCTATTTAATTCCCACTTTGTATTTTGAATTCATATTGACATCATGGTCAACACTTTATTTTATTGGTAATAATATGTGTTGTGACTTCTTCTATTAATATAAATTTGGGCAAGCATTGACAAATTGAATGGTGCTTATTGTGCAGGACGTTTTCTGGCAGAAGTTACAAAGCAAGTGCTATCAGACCTTGAAACAAGCAAATATCAGGTTGATGCTTATAGATAAATAAAGCCAGTGAAGTCATAGTACTCCAATTTAACCATTGCTTGTGCACCCTCCATTTCACCTTGTCCCAAATAAAAATATTAATTAGATTCATACTCCAAAACATATATCTTTACTCTTCCTAACTCCAAAGTATTTATGAATGCCTTTCTCTGCTATTTGAAGTTTACGTCCTTGGTTTAATCTTGTGTCTTTTGTTTAGGCATTCATCAGTCTTGGCATTAGGTTCAATTTAGTATTTTAAATTATTTTTTTTATAAGAATTTCAGGCCTCGTTAAAACCCCCCTTCTTGATTAATGGAGCTAGTAGGGTAGCTCCTTAATCAGCGGAAGGAGGAAAAGAGTGCAAACCCCCTTCTTGATTAATGGAGCTAGTAGGGTAGCTCCTTAATCAGCGGAAGGAGGAAAAGAGTGCCTTAGGATTTTATTGAACATAAGAAATTACAAAGGTACAACCTGGTAAACACCCTTAACAGAAACAAATAAACAGGGAACAACCCTAAACCACCCATAAACTACAACATTAGTTCAACCAATTTGTCCTATTAACCCATCTAACAACACCTTCTAATACAATAAAAACCAATATTTACAACCAAAAACTAAAATAAACGCCTCTGAAAACAGCTGTCGATCAATTAAGATCCAATTGAAGGAACAAGTTCTAATGAAATATCGCAATCTTTGGGGACCCAAGAATTAGGTTTGAAGGAAGGATCAACTCATCAATTCTCCCTTGAGCCTTTGTGAGTATTTAAATTTTAGCCCGATCAAAAGACGATGGAAACTCACAACTGTTGTCGATTGCTACTAATTTGCCCCACTTAGTTGCAATGTTTTTGAAAGTATTACAATTCCAAGCGTGAAAAGGAATACCTTCGCAAACTAACCAGACGCGACGACACTCCACCACTAGGCTCTCTGACCAAGTTTCCACTCTAGAAAACCATTCTGCAAGAGTCTCTAGTTTCTCATCCGTCACGATTCTCAACGAATCGGAATCTTCAAAAATCATTAGAACCGCATTTCCAACAACTCTCATTAGCGTGAAGCCAACTAGTCCTTTGGCTTGAATTTGGTTGGCAAGATTACCAATTTTGATAAAGTTCTTGCACCACCCCACAAGACAATTATTCAACTCGTGTAGTTTATCTTCGTCCACTACGCCCTCAACTTCAGATAGTTTATTCCTCGAAATATCTTCCATCCCAGACATTAGGTGAACAACTGTCGAGGACTTTCTCCATTAAGACTGTCGGGGTTTATATTTAGCCAAGGAGACTCTAACTTTGCTGCCATAAATATGATTACCATTCATCTTTGAAATCGCTATCCTGGCTTCCTCAATTGTTGCATAGCGAATAAACCCAAAACGAACCCTTTTCGAGTTTCTTTTTTTAGGAATGAATGCATCAATAACTTGACCGTGTATGCCAAATATAGACCCAAGTCTCTTCCAATGGATCGTCTCTGGAAGGTTTTCGATAAATATCGTGAAACAACCATTTCTGAACCCATTTCCGATTCTTGGTTGATCTTCCTTCGACGAATTATGAGACCTATTTCTTCTCCTTCTCTTTACTTCAGAAAACTTTTCATTGGAGTGCCCTTTCGTGGTGCTCTCCTTGGTTCCAACAAGATCAATATCAGCAATAGGAGGAGCTGGTATTGCTTGTACTACAGAAATCTTTCCGACCTTATGTTTCCCTTCTGCTTCACTGTATACGTTCCCAAATTTTGCTGAATTTTGGGCGTAGGAGATTGTCTGTACGTAGTGCCGTCGGGCTCTACTGTCCAACCAGCCTCACGTGCCAAAGCAGCCAATACATCATTCATAGCAGCATGCGGGGGAAGAGGGAAATTACCGTAATGCCTCAATCCGGCCAACATACGTCTGGTGAAAACTCGCCTGTGTCGTTTCCGAGTCTTTGTCCTCTCCTTTTCTGTCTCCATTGCACGTTTTTCCTTACCGGAATAAGATGAAGTGGTTGCACCGACGAGTTCAGATGTCTTGAAAAACCTCCCTCGTGTAATGCATTCTCCAACCTTTTTAGTTCCTGTTCCCGTTTCTTCAAATCAGACACTTGAGCTTTAAGTTCCTTCACTCTCGCTTCTAAATCCTTGGTAGAATCAAGAGAAATATCAACAGAAGCACCACAAAAATATGGTTCATGAGGGAGTGGAGAAAATCTTGACGTTGAAGGAGGAACAGTAGAGTGACTCGCATAGGATATAGCCACCGCGCCTGTTGCAGCAAACCTTCGAGGATTCCTGGGTTGAGACGGGGGTTGGGGTTCCATGGTGAGGACTGTAAAAAAACAGGAAGGAGGAGGAAATGGTATATATTTCTGCCGACCCGGTTACTGGAAATAAATGGAGAATAGAAACGATTCTCGACACTTGGATAGGGGATTCTTGTCGCGAGAAAACACTAGGTCCGGTGGTGCAGCGGTGTTGAGCACGGACGGCAGGAAGCGGCTTAAAACAACAGAGGACTTCATCAAGATCTGCGTTGATTGAATGATTCTATCACAAATCTAAGGCCAGATTTGAAATCATCGTGGGCCGGCGATCTTCCCAGAAAAAAAACGGCGTCAAAACGGTGGTCGGAGTGTGGTGGCGGACGGCTGACGGCGGCGGCGGGTGGCGGACGACTTCGGCGGACAACGGGTGGATGTCGGAGGACAGAATAGTTTTCTAAAACGCCTGGGCTCGTGGAGATTCAAAATTTGAAATCGCCTGGGTTAATACGTGACTCAAGAGACAACTTCAATGTTAGTATTTTAAATTATGATAGATCTGAAACTTTGATATCTTCATGCAACGGGGGTTTACTTTGTAATACCCAATGCAGATGCAAAACTCAAGCCTAAGTTATTCTCGACAGGGAGAATATAAGCATCATAAAATATTTTGCAATGTCAATATAGGGGCTTTTCTTGACATTGTTGTGAATTTTCTTTGTCCATCTTGCTGATTGATATTAAAGTTTGTACACAGTTCTATAAAAAAAAAAAATCTTGCTGTAGCCTAAGAATTGTTGTAGTTGTTTCTACTGATTAACCTTAAAGTTTCAAGTACCTTTTCTTGATGTCCATATTCCCACTAAGGGTTAGAATACTGGACTCCCATGAAGTATCCCATTTTTCTTAACTAAGCCTCTGCTTTTATTGTATCCAAATAACCTTTTATTTTCAACAAAAGGTTGACTTCTGTTACAAATGCAACAGACATGGTGTGTAGGCGACCTGGTGTGTAGGCGCAGAAAGATGGTCTAATTGAAGTTCTCTTCAGTTATCATTTATTTTTTCTTAATTGCAAAAAAATGACATCTTAATTTTTCAATATTTGAGTATTCAACACCAGACGTGGTATCTTACGGAGATATGCATATGGTTGACATAAGAAAGAAAATTTGGCATTTTTCTGCGGTTCAAACAGGACCACTTTCTTATAGTTTATCATCACAATTATATATCTTAAGCTTATAATACATACCATATACATATAAACACTCACACATACATATATGGTGTGCCTTATGTCATTTAGGCAAAGGACTGTTTGTGTGTGTGTTTGACACCTTGTTCCTTATACAATCAAAGGATTCTAGGACCTAGAGTGCTCCTTTCCCATCTGACAACACCAAGTAATATGTTATATATCTTTTCTAGATGGCAGAGTACAGGGTGTCCATATATGGAAGGAAACAAAGTGAATGGGACCAGTTGGCAAGTTGGTTTATTAACAATGAAATTTATAGTGACACTACAGTTTGGTTAATCCAGGTATAATGCCGATATTATTTCTCTTCGTACTATTACATTCTTCCACTATCTACCGTTGCAGTAAGTTTTTTACCCTTTTACATCTCCGTTTTAAAATGTTTATTTAAGTCTTACGTACTGGTTTTCCTGGATCCTTTCTTGTTAATGAATCAAAATGATCATATCTTGTTCGGACATGTTTATTGAAGAATTGTCTTCATGTTTCTTGAATCATCTAAAATTGGAAAAACTATTGTCGGCAACTACTCTAATGAAACATACTTCAAAGTATGGACAAGCTTATAACCTTTCGGATAGGCTTTTGGGGCATAATGTCCATATCAAGCATCATCTTTCTACAATACTGCTGATTCTCTCTCTCTCTCCCTCTCTCTGATATATTTTATTAAGACCAAAGTTAACTTTCTTCACTTGATTTGACTTATCTTGCAGCTACCACGATTGTATAATGTGTACAAGCAAATGGGAATTGTAAATTCTTTTCAGAATATTCTGGACAATGTTTTTATTCCACTATTTGAAGTTACAGTCGATCCAAACTCTCATCCTCAATTGCATGCGTTCCTAAAGATGGTGGGTTTTATGTTCAATGAACAGCATAATGTGCAGTAATAAGAGATTTCATTGTTATTTGACAAACTGATAATACAGTTAATAAAATGCTCTTTATTGAAGTGACTTGCATGCTAATATGCTTCTTTTTGTAGGTGGTTGGCTTTGATTTAGTTGATGATGAGAGTAAACCAGAGAGGCGTCCTACAAAGCACATGCTGACTCCCAATGAATGGACCAATGAATTTAATCCTGCATATTCTTATTATGCCTACTACTTTTATGCAAACCTGTATACGCTCAACAAGGTTCGTGTAATTTTCTAATCTCATCATAGCTATTTTACATATCAATATTGCTTTTTATACTGCAATTTGGCTTTTTATACAAGGAAGATTGTTTTTATTTTTATCATAGATGTTATGTTGAAACATTTCATAATTTTTGCTTTTTTCTCCCTTTTCAGCTTCGTGAGTCAAAAGGAATGCAAACGATAAAACTCCGACCTCACTGTGGGGAGGTTATAGTCGATTTCTCTCCATTTCAGTGTTTCTTCAGTTTTTTAAATTGCTTTTGACATTTGCAAAGTTATGCAGGCTGGTGATATTGACCATTTAGCTGCTGCTTTCCTTCTGTGCAACAATATATCCCATGGGATTAATCTCCGGAAATCTCCAGTTTTGCAGTACTTGTATTACCTTGCACAGGTTGGTTTGCAGGATTTCCCATAAAAAAGGTTCTTAGTAGTTAGTTTTATGTTGTAAAAAATGAGTATAAAAATGGCATGCGCAAGGACAATGTTTCAATTGTATTATGCACGTATGACAACCAGTCAGAAGGGATCTGTAGATCTTGTTCCCATATGTCAGAATGTGCGGAGTCTGCAGATTATTAAGCACGAACAGTTTATGAGCTGGCTTTTGGAATGAACTTCTCCTTTGAAACAGTACGATTGATTCAAGTACTATTGTTGATCACATTGCTGTTCTTTTATCAGGTTGGATTGGCCATGTCTCCTCTGAGCAATAATTCCCTTTTCCTGGACTATCATCGCAACCCATTTCCTTCCTTCTTTCAGCGTGGGCTTAACGTTTCACTTTCATCTGATGATCCTTTGCAAATTCATTTGACAAAGGAAGCTCTTGTAGAAGAGTACAGTGTTGCAGCACAGGTTTGTTGCTTCCTTTTGACATTTCTCTCTCTATATATACACATATATCCAATATTTCTGAGGCTATCAAAAGTAAACATGCATCCAACCTATTAAAGTTTCCTCCCACAACACAAACTCTCTAAAAGAACTAGTACATGAAAAGAAGCAAGTGGTAAGGTGCGTAAACATATGCTTGATGTCTCTGTCATCATCTTAAATCAGTAATTTGCAGGTTTGGAAGCTCAGTGCTTGTGACTTATGTGAGATTGCTAGAAATTCTGTATACCAGTCTGGATTTTCGCATATGTTAAAGGTGAGAGATTTCCATAACTCTTATTTTCTCAACTTTTCGTGGCCATTTAAATTTTGTTTTAAAGTATGGAAACAACTTGCGGAATTCACTCTTTAAAGTTTAAGTACCAAGCAAAGTTTCTCATTCTATCCTTTTACATCGACAATCCTTTCCAATGAAGTGTTGTTTGTCGATGGTTACCATTCATGGTACTCTTCTGGTCAAAAACAGGCAATTACTTCAATATCTAAATGAGGAAAATTTGCTTATATTTAGGTTACTGACATTGCAAAGAAAGGAGTGAGGAAAAAAGTTGCTTACCTATTTAGGTTACTCACTTCCATATTATGAGGGAAACTGGCCAATTGAAAGGCTATATAACCTTTAAGTATGCATGTGTGCGTGTTTAATGCATGCATCAAGCCTGTCTAAAAATACAAGTAGAAGTCTCCAAAATTAAAGTTTGCTTGAGTAAGATAAAATAGTTTGATGCATTTTCTGGGAAACTCATAATGTGTATTTGAAAATGGTCTTGTAATACTTGGTATTTTTTAGATAACCCAAATTCACACCGGAGGAGGGTTTTCTGATATGGACTGACCATTTATATTCTTTTTTCAATATGTCTCAGTCCGCGCAAGCTCTTCTGAATCGTAAATCTATGAATCAACCCGCGGTAAACACATTTTGTAAATTTTATCATTTCCTCTATCTTTTTGTTGCAGTTGCATTGGCTCGGGAACAAATACTTCGAAAGAGGTCCAGAAGGGAATGACATTCAGAAGACGAATGTTCCAAACATGAGGATCGCCTTTCGACATGAGGTAACTTCACATTATTCCTCTTAAATTTGTCGTAAAACTTATCTCTAGGAGATGGCTAATGGTTTAGAATCGGCAGACATGGATAGATGAGATGCAGTATCTTTACTCGGGAAGGGCACGAATTCCAGAAGAAATTGATCCTGCGATGTGATCGAAAATTAATACGGGAACCATGAAGCAAATTTTGCATAGTGGGGTTATACCGAGTTGGGGAGGGATTCAGCGTGCTCAATTTTAAAGAGGCTATTCTTTGAAGCGTAATGAGATTCCATTATTTTGCTTTTGCCGAGGCGCAAGGGATCAAATCGCAAAGTTATATTAGTGAATTAACTCAGTATTTTCGCTTTTAATAATTAGCGCAATCCAAGTCTTTTGGCTTTGTGGCTTTACTTAATGGTAAGGAAAAAATGTAGCTTTATTGATATGAATGATCTTTTTTTCCTTAAAAACTTTTATTTATTTTTTTAAGCCGAAGGCATGCAATTACATCAGAGACCAAAGACAAATTTATAATCATCTCCGAACGAGATTAGTTCTTTCGGAACTCGAACCTGATTCAACTTAAAACCCAAATTTTATGAAAAAAATAAAATTTATCTCATCGAAACAGATCAAAACAGTCATATACGAGTTTTTTTTTTCCATCCTCGTGTATCCGACATGATGGAGCTACACTCAACCACCGAGTCCAAAACATTTATATTGACCTGTATGCATTTACGCCATTTGTTCGTTGTTCATAAACTCCTGCGCTGCTTTGCTTCTCATTTTGTGAAAAAATTGTCACCAATCAAAAGTGAACACATTTTACGTATTACAAGATGTAAATATGCCAGTTTACAAGAACATGTTACATTCTAGTTTCTTTGAGGTGGTGAACATTGATTCAATCTTTTATTGTAACTAAAAATATATATGTGGCTACAGATGCACATACAGGCTTAGTTGAAATATGCCGTCTCCAACACACTGGCCTTTTCACCGATAGTCGCAGCTTCCGGCCTGCCACTCACCTTATAACCTTTCTCCTGAACGATTGACATGCAAAATGTCATATGATTATAGCTGTATTCCAACACTCGGCACCCAAGTCCAAGTAACATAGGTGCAAACTAAACAGATAATGTATGTCGAGATATATATATGTATATACTTACCAGTAGACGCCATAAGAAAGGATCTCCATCCCTCTTCTTGATCTGTTTCTCAATCGATTCAATTGCTACAATTCAAAGAGGAAGTTAAAAACCAATCACTGTAAATAAAATTAGTATACCATTTAACAAGATTAGGTGTCGTACCTTTGGTAGCTTGTCCAGTATTCAGCAACATAACGTACCAGATTTCATTAAATACATCAACCTGTTCATTGGATGCTCCAATAACCTGGCATCCGGATACAAAAATCAAATCAACTCCAAATATTTTGACAGTGAAATCAAATTACCAACAAACAAAATGATAGTTGATAGTAGTACCTTATACATATAAGCATCGAAATCAGGACCGAGTATTTCTAGTGCTTGCTTTTCGTTCCCTCGTCCAAACTCATATACAGCTTCCGCAAGCTAATGAAAAAAGGTTTATAGAGTGAAAAGAATAGGCATGAAGCCTATAAAGTAATATCACAAAAATATAAATGCAGTACATGAATAACTCATTATATCGATACAAGAAAATTAATTATAATCACTAAAGGAAGAAAAAATTAGAACAAACCTGCATCGCTCTTTGCATTATTTGTTGCTTCTTCTTGCTCATCTTGGAAAGTCTACAACAATGAAATACAATGAATATGACACATTTCAAAATGACAAAAAAGAGGAGAAAATCTTTCTAACCTCAACTTCAAGCCCTTTAGTAAATCATCAGCTTTAGAAAGTTCCTTGATAAAAGCTAAGGCCCATATTATCAACAAATCAAGGTGCCACTCTAAAAACCAGTTCGCCTGAACAATGCAGGGAATACAAATATCATCAAACAATAAAGTCATGCAAACAACAGTGTCACCTAAATTATAAGAATAAGCTTGTACAAGAGGGTCAACTCACTTGATCTCTTAGAAATGCTGCCAAAATTTGCAACTGATCTTCAAAGACATCCAGTTTTCCCCGTACATAAACCCGCAACAACAGACCCAAAGCATTTAGGTACACCTAAATGTACCAACAAATCAAAACTTGTAATTTGAAATTGTGGATGATGTCGAAAAGATGGTAAAAAGAAGAAATACCTCCACAGGAACTGCATCAGTTCTTTCCAACTCCTTCCATATACGATCATCATAAATTTCTCTAACCTTTGTAATTGGAGAATGGCCCTCCAAATAACAAAGAGCCGCATGCCACCAATTGTGGGTTAACCTAGATATTTCTCAAACTTTAATACTGAAAGAAGGCAATAAACACAAGTAAAACTCATTTAATGGCCTAAAAGGCATACATGAACGACGAACAAGGACTCCATGACTTTGAGCATTCTTCCATGAACTGCACTGCTTCTTTGTACCGACACTCGTACTGAAGAACATGGCACAACTGCATGACAAAACAAAACTATCTCAGAGAAGTATATATTTCTAGCAATAGTACATGTATACATAATAATTATATATACTGCAATAACTCAGTTTATCATAAACAGGAATAGAATGTATCGACGGCCAATCTTTCCCCGGTTTGTTGTACAAATTAGTGAAAACAGCCTTCAATAAATTACAACAGGGAGACTTTATTGTATATTCAACAATGAAACAGTTGACCATCCAATTAGAATGCATATGGTGAAAAATAAGTTCATTCAGAATATAAATTATATGATTGGAAACAATAACCACAAATTCATTAAAGGGAGGAAATAAAACGTCTATTCTTCAAAGCATATCACATCAACTAAAACTCACCGCATGTTGTGACCAAAAGTCTTGCTTATTTATTTCAAACCCCTTTTTTGCTGCATCCTCTGCATCTGCCATTCGTCCAAGCTCTAATAGAGGGAATGCAAGCATGCCATATATGTAATTTTCTTGTTGATTTTGTGGTAGAACCTATTGAATATACAAACCATTACAGGATGAAAGGTAAATACAAACCGAAAGTTCTCATGGGAAAAATAAAAATTGTTTAGATAACGAGTCAATGCAACAAAATATGGCAAAGCAAAAATAATGTTTTATGTGAGACACATTAATCCACAATTTCCTCACTCCCTTAAAAATCAAGAAAATACTACACCAGATAGGACGTTACCTGCTGAACAAGATCTAAAGACAAATCAGCTCGACCCATATAAAAGCACAGTATTTGTGCCCTCTTCAATGAAACAAGATCTCTTGGAAAATCTCTCAAGAGCTGCAAAAAATGCACAGGAATCAAATACAACAGTAAATTTTGAAAGAAAGAAAAAACAAGCCTATCAAAGAAATCGAGTTGAGATTGGAGCTTTTGTATAAACATGATAATTTTGAAGCATGCCACAATTATCACTACACAAAACTGCCAAGTTTCTCAACTTGTAAACCAGGGGACAGTGGTCTGCTCTTTATTTTATCAACACAATTTCGAAAGGTGCAAAATTCTGAATTTAGGTGACCTACTTCTCTTCTTGTCATTTTACATTATCTCTTGCTGCTTAAGCCCTTAAATTTTGATCAGGAAATCCTTGTTCCTTGTCATCATCACAAAACTTGTTAAATTATCTAAAATACTAATAACTGAGGAGGGTTCATCTCGATGAGATGAGGAAATGTTGCAAACCAGTAAAAAATAAAATGTCGTGAATAGACGATGGAGACAAGTGCGATGGTGGTGATTAGGCTATCAGACGGTGGAGAAATCAAACTTGTCAAACTATCAAAATATACTGAATGAAACAAAAATGCCTAAAATATGGCTACCCTTACCTTAGAGTGTAACTCAACGGCAATATCATCGTCTCTATCATGAGAAAGCAAATAATTGATAGCTTCAAAAACAGCTTTCTCATAAGAAGTGGCTTGCTCCTGCTCAAAACAACAAAAATCCAAAATTACACAGAATTCCATTATCCTTGTATTTTCTGAAGGAAAACCATATAATTAATGATAGAAACTTACAATTCTAGATTTGGCAGCTTCTACAAGTGGATCAGCCTTTGAAGGGTCAGAAGAATGGAGAAAATGGGCAGCCAAAATGTTGGCTAAAACACAGTCTTTGTCATGAACAAGCGCATCTAAGATCACTTTCCTATTTCTGCCATAAGCAAGCACCTGTGATAGTTGAACACTTACAAACTAGAACCAAAAGAACTTCTCCGGAAAAAAAGAATTTTACGAATTCAAACAAACAAAAAAAAGGTATTGAAAGAGAGGGGAAAGAGTGAATACCTGGTGATAGTAGTCGTTGATCGCGGAAATGCAAGAATCGGAAGAGGTTTTAACTTCATAACCCCATTTATCCAATTTCAGTCCTTCCATTTTTTTTTCGATAGAAAACGAAGCACAAGGGAGAAGACAAGTTCCCAGTACGGTTGGTCTTGGAAATGTGTCCAGGAGTCAATAACTATAGCTGAAAATGATACCCAGTTGTGACTACGCTACCGCTGCCTCTCTCTATATATTTTTTAAAAAAGGTAAGGTATTAATTTTGTTAATTAGCTAATCATAGGTCGACAGTTAATAATTATTAATTTAATTATTATTATTATAATTTAATAAATTTAATATTTTTAATTAAATGATAATATATGTCATATCATCCTCTAATCGAATGAGTATTTTTAATAATTTGAAATTATTAAAAGGTAGTAAATGTTCGAATTCATCAAGACACGTATGTGATTAAAAATAATATTATTCTCTCTATAAGTCTCGATAATTAAAGAGAATGTTATTCTCTTTAAAAAATTTATTAATTAAGAAAAGCGTTGTAACCGTCTCAAACAATTAAAAAAATAATAAATATTCAGAATTTTTATTAATTATTAATAATATACACATCGTACGCATAAACTGTTTAGAACTTTAATTCAATGAAGAGTATAATACTCTTACCGATGTCGTTCAATTTAAAGTAGATTCAAAGTCAAACATACAATATAGTAGGCACGACATAGCTAGTGGGCCAAATCCTACTCTTGTGAGATTTAAACCCGTGCCATTTAAAGAGTATAGGAACACTTAAATTTAAAATAAATTTAATAACTAATTAATAATTGGATAGATTTTTTATATATTTTAAATTATAACTAATATAAGATTAAAAATAAAAGTATATTTTATGTTTTAAAATTAAATCTAAAATTTTAATTTAATATAAATTTAAAATTTTTATTTTAAATAGATAAATTATAATAAATATCAATTTCATTTATATTAATCTTGAATTTTATTTTTTTTATAATTTAAACCATTGAAATTTACAATATATATTTTATTTAAAAATTAAAATTTGTCATGAATAAAATATGATAAGTGTTGAATTAAACTTATATTTATGTCAAATTATAATTTTTTATTAATTTAAATTATTATTATAATTATCATATTCAAATCAATTTAAAATATGATAAATATTTAATTATACTTACATTAAATTATAGTTTTATGATAAATTAAATTACTTATTATTATATTTATAATTTAAATATAAAATTACATTTTATATCATATCATTAGTTAATCGTTTAGAAAATATTTAAAATATAAGAAAATAAATTCATTTTTACTTTTTATATTGAATTAATTAAAATTTGAAATATATATGAAATCTATCATAATATAAATTAATTGTTAAATTTATTTTAGTGATTTAAGTGCTTCATACTCTTTAAATAACTTGTGTTTGAATCCCTACTTGGTTCACTTTCATTTTTTCCTAATATTAACTATAGTATAAGTTATTTACATTATCTTGTAAAAAGTGTTACAAGGCAGATATTGGCCCAGTGATTTTGCCTCGCTTCATCATTGCTCATGTTCCTTTAAATCATCCTAGCCCAATAGCCCATTACTTCCTATTTTCCAATAAGAGAGTGACATTTGTTACTCTGGAAAAAAATTAAATTAAATAAATTAAAATTAAGGAGAGGAGGAAAAAGAAAAAATATCATCATTTGATTATATAATTAAATTTATTAAATTAAATTAAAATTGAGATCAATTTGATTGAATGTGTAAGTAATGATAATTAAATATATATTTACACCGATTTTATCAATTGTCATATCAACTCCTCCGTCAAAAGTCAACAACAATGACTTGATTGATATTATTTAAATAATTAAATTCTCAAAATTAAATCCAGTACACAACATTAAAGCAAAGTTGTATACACTTAAAATTATACTATTCAAAATGATCAATTTTCCTAAATAATTCTAGATCAATTTATATATTTTTCTTATTATTTTCCTGAATAAACCTATTTTTGTTTAAAAACAAATGAAGTGACACTTGGCATCAGATGCGTAATTTGTACGTGAATTTTTTTACAAAAGAAAATCCAGTAACGAGGGCAACAGTGATTTACTGCAACAGGCCAGCCCTGAAAGGGAGAGCTCGAAAACAAAGCAGCAATTGAGGCTGCTGTCTGTGTTTGCATATGTTTGGCAATGGACAGGAACCGATATCCATAAAGACAGCAACAAAGGGGTAGTTGCGTATCATCAGACGACGGAATCAAATTCTTGCTAATTTAAGCACAGGGAACCCAGTTGCTTTTGAAGTGAGCCTAACTAGATTTAACATCAAAATGACGATAAGTCGGGCACAAGCTATTATCTTACTTGTTTTTCTTAGTTGGATTCATAGTACATCCTCTTTCCCACCCTTATCGTTGTGGGTAACGTGTGATTACTAATTTTGGGTTGGGATTACATGTGATTTTTGGTGTGACACTTCTGATTCAATTTTAATGGCTGGTGAATTTTTTTATCTAATGATTAAAATATTTATGATTATATTTTGAATTGTTTGGTGTGACTATAAGATATTATCTATTCAGGATTTTCCTAACCTATTAACAACGTATACATACACTGTAAATACAATTATTAAAATATAAAATTTATACGAAAAATAACATTATTTTTTACTATTGATACCAGTTGATGGTTCATTTTTCTATAAAATCATATACTAAATGATTATATAAAAATATAAAACAATGAAATATAAGAATACGGAATGAGGTATCCATATTGTTACTATTAGCTGAATTAATCTGTTCTTCCTTATTATATTTCATGAGAGTTGATGTTTTTTTTTATTTGTTTTATAATTTTGTTTTTGGTCGTCTAACTGATTATCTAATAAAATTATATATAGCATTACTTTTTCAAAACAAATGAAGTCACATGTGACTTTTATAAATATAAGTTGAATTTTATTTAGCATTACTTTTTCAAAATTTTAAATTAATCGTTATTCAATAAAATCGATGACGTGATATGACATAATTAAAAAATGTACGAATCAAGTAGTAATTTTTATAAAAGAATTATTGTTATTCTTTTATGACTCGAGTTTGAATACCATAGAAGCTAGAAGTGTGAGTGTTTAATGTCGAGAGATTGAGAATTATTTTTGAATATATATTATTTTGTACTTACAAAATAATAATTTAAAAATCCTTGATATTTAAAAATCTTATCAGTTTAATATTTATTTTAATATAAAATAATTCAATAATTTAATAAATTTAACAATTTAATAAAATTACGATACACCTCATCATCTCATTTAAAAGAAAAACTAAAAATGCAAAATGAGACCAACAACAATCAATTTAATATTTTGAAATAACATGCGACTTTTATAAATATCAGTTGAATTGCAATTTGTGTTACTTATTATTTAGAAGTGTGATAGTTAATACTATTTTCATTCAGATTTTTATCGAAATTATATACATTTAAAAATTTACAAATTGTTTTTAAAAAATTACATGATTATAAATTTTTAAAACTATTTTTATATTATTAATATATAATTTAAAAATTATATATATTTCAAATTTATTTAAGGTTTTTAAAAATTTTAAGTTTATTTCTCACAAGTATTAAAAATATATCAAAATAAAATAATTGTGAGAACCATCCTTTATCCTTTTGCTATTTCATGAATCAGATTCTCACCACTATATTTTGTAAGACTAATTGAACCGTTGATATAAAGCGAAGCCATTGATCCGACGGTAGAGAACTGAGGTGGAGTTGCACGTGAGAAAGAGAAGTGGTTTATGAAGAAGCTAGAGGAAAAAGAATCGGTGGACCCCATCCGACAAATCCTCACTGGAACTGATAGTTCGCCTCGCAACTCCCAAGGTCTCCCTCTCTCATAAAACCAGAAAGAAGAAAAAGGAAACAACGACATTGAGAAGAAACCAGAAAGCAAGAGGGTTCAGTCGAAGGAGAGCAGAACACAAAATTGTGAAACCAACAATCTCCACTGTCCAAGGAGAGCATCACTCTCACACTGTCAAAAACAAAAAATAAAAGCTCACCATTTCTCGCTTTCTGTTTCCCTTCATTATAAGAAAAAGTAAGCCCAGAAATTTGAGGTTGTTAACAATTATTGGCTTTTTTTAATGTGAAGTTTGAGCTTGGGTTTTGTTTAATGGTGATGGATCCACTAGCTATGATGAGCGATGGGAGGTACAATCTAGCGGAGATCTGGCAGTACCCAGTTAGTGAATCAGGGATAAGGATGGGTAAGTTTGGATCCGGGTCGGGTCAGATCGTCGACCCGAACCAGGAGGTTTCTGGTAATGGTCCAGTTAGCTTGGAACAACAGCTCAGAGGAGGTGGTGGTGTGAGGAGAAGGCGTGATGAGGAAGACGAGGCAGCTAAGGTTTGTTGTTTCCACTCGTAATGGCAATGGACTTGGTTTTCTCTTTAATCAATTGGATTTTTGTGATCTGAATTGTATTTATTTTGATTCAGATTTAGCTTGTTTTCTGTAGTTCTTTTAAGTTCGAATGTTGGGTTCTTGCTGGTATTTTGGGATTGCTCTTACTTATTTCTGGTGACTGATTATTATAGGGAAAGTTTGTTGATTTCATATGATAAACTTTGTTAATAATTTGGGCAGAATGATTGTGATGGGAAGAGACTTAAAGCATCAGTAGGTACAGATGAGCGTCAAGATTCTAAAGCCGATGCAGAACCCAGTTCAGGCAAACCGGTGGAAGAAAAAGCACAACCGCCACCACCGGAGCCACCTAAACAAGACTACATCCACGTGCGAACTAGAAGGGGTCAAGCTACCGATAGTCACAGTCTAGCAGAACGGGTAATTTTGCTGCAGGATATGCCTAAAAATCAGTCTCATACAATGTTTACAATCATTGTTTAGCTTTGGCGTTTGGTCGAAATTCATAGAATCTAAATATGTTTCTTTGATCTGAATCATTTTATTGGGGGCAGGCAAGGAGAGAAAAGATCAGCGAACGAATGAAAATTCTTCAGGATCTGGTCCCTGGCTGCAATAAGGTATACCATGGAATTCGTAAGCGGTTTATTGTCTGCGAACGGTTTGCAATTTTGTTCAATATTGATGTATAAGAAAAACAAGTGCTTGGTGTCCTGTGAACCTGTCCTTGCTTATCAGCGAATTGATTACTTATCTAGTGCTATGGCCAGTGACTTTCTATTGCCTGCGATACCAACACCGTGTTGAGATTTTTATTTAGCTTTCCCGTAACATGACATATTTTAAGCCCCTTGCTGAGTTATTTTTTTGGACTCAGGTTATTGGCAAAGCGCTTGTCCTTGATGAGATAATTAATTACATTCAATCACTGCAACATCAAGTCGAGGTGTGGATCCTTCTGCTCATGTATCACTGTATTTATTTTGCAATTTTCCTCTGTTGCTTATCTCAAACTCGTGTTCTGGAAATTTTCTGCTGTTGCAGTTCTTGTCAGTGAAGCTTGAAGCAGTCAATTCAAGAATGAACACTGCCGTCGAAGTATTTTCACCTAAAGATGTAAGTACTTATTGTGTCTGTCCTTGAACCCTTTTGTTTAAATTAATTTGAGACCCAAATTTTGATCACATTCCTTTTTAGTGCTAGCATAGGCGTATGCTTCCTAGGTGCTCGTAGTTGAATCAAACTTGTGCCATGTTCATCTAAGATTCACGTCTGTTTGGGGGATAGCCTTCTGTTGTAGTTGGTATCCCAAAAAAAGAATAGAACACACCTTTCCTGAAATTCTTAATGGATTGCACAATTTCCTTCTTAAGGATTGACACTACGACTTGTGTCCGTGTTCCTGTTTGTTTGTAAAATAACTGTTCATCGAATCCTGTGTTGTTCATTTACATCCTTACTATGAATCTACCTCCTAATTAATCTTTCTTTGATGTAGTTATCTTAGGTATTCACCAAACTCATTGTAGAGAATCCAACCTTTCATAACTATCTATTTTTTTGGTGTTTCAGTATGGCCATCAAACTTTTGATACTTCTGGAATGGCATATGGTTCACAAGCAACGAGAGAATACAGTCGTGACACATCACCCGAGTGGTTGCATATGGGTGGCGCTTTCGAAAGAACAACGTAATATAGATAACCCCTTGTCAATACACAATAAGAGAGACTCAATATTTTCCGTGCTCGAAACGGGGCATGGAGACGCTATTGCTGTCAAAAAGAATGCTAAAGGTTATTGCCTTAAAACATCATACTTGTGTTTTGGACAATGTATTGTTTTACTATGTTACATGTTTAGGCTTAACGCCACGCCTTCTCTGTACTGATATACCTGAACAAAACAGAATCTCCTGGGATTGATTATTGTTGTTGTACAAGAAAGTTTACTAGTTCGGGATCACCGAAGCTTAAATGTGGAGTCAAACTTTTTCATAATATTGAGTTTGTTAAAACATACTAAATAAAATTAGCTGACCTTATTTCCATATGTAATGGGGTAAGGAGAGGTAGGGTAGTAGGCTGTTCCCAACGTCAGGTTGAGAGCAGTTTTCGTGAAAGACTTCCGTTATGAATTGTTCGAATTGCTTTCAGTGAGATTCGATCCCACGATTACAAGATTAAAAGTCTTGTACTCTACCAATTAAGTTAGATGAGCAATTCTTGTTAAAACATACTAAACAAATGCTAATTTGTCGGACGAGATAGCCTTTTGCCAATTACAAGATCAGATAGTCCACGATATATTGACCAAACGTCGTCGTTCTAACGCCTCCATTTTCAAGGAAATGTCCTCGTTGGAGCTTGAACGCAGTTTCCCGATTTACCTTTTCCCCTACCACGTCATCTCTCACGCGCCTGATTAATTATGAAATCCAGCTAACCCGCTTTTTTTTATTGTCCGCAAAGAGAAACAACCACGCGCCGAAACGAATAAGCAAAAATATCACGCGGTTCGGGTCTAGTCTTGTTCAAAGAATCCAACTTCAAGGGGAACAAAATATTGTTTAAGCAAACAAAAGAGGGTAAAGAACATACTACAGTAAATACAAAGTCAAAAAACCTGAAGGGCGAAGCAATTTTTTTTTTTAAAAAAAAACTAAATTGGATGAAGAAGAGGCCTCTCTCTCTCTGTTTCATCGTTGCAAAGGAGGCCTCTCTCTCTCTCTCTGTGTTTCATCGTCGCAAAGGAGACCTCTTGCCTTCAATCGAGCTCCATCGATTCGAGGAGCAGCTGTCACAGCCATAGAAAAAAGCAATCAAGATTCCACTTCTGAATCTACGTGTGCCGATTTGTTTTGATTTCTTTTTTACTTTTTGTTTGGATATCTGAAAGAAGAGAAGGAAGATGAGTAGATGGGAAAACATTAGGTCATCGATGAGATCGCAACAAGGTCGTAGTGAGAGCTTTGGCCAACATGCGCCGTCTCGAACTGTCACGCTGGGTCGGGTTCAACCTCAGGCGCCCGCCTACCGCACCATCTACTGCAATGACCGCGACGCCAATTTCGCCCGTCGATACAGGGTATTTATATAGTTTATACTTAATTTGTGGTTTTTTTAGTATTTTCAGTGTACGATTCCTTTTTGGACTTTTGATCTCCTGGAAAATACGAGCTGTTGTGAATTTGAATCTATTAAAATGTTTAGTAAATTAATGTTACCACCAGTCGGAGCATGATTTAGACTTCTAGTTATTTTTATTAATTTTTCTATTTTCTTGGCTTAATTAAATTTTACTAATTGCTTGTTTTTCTCGCTTTTTTTTAAAAAATGTTAATTTGATCGGATCCTTTAGAATCAGATATGTTGCTGCTACTATTAGATTGGTAACATTAGAACTTAAAGTGGGCAATGCTAAAGTGAGGGAAATGTAAATCTGTGAGAAGAAGAATCTTACTATACTGAAGTCCACACTTTAACTAAACTGAAGAACATTACCTAAATGATTTTATTATGTGGCTGTCACATTTTAGTTAATCTTAAATGTCTGATTTGGAGCTTAATATCTTCATCCTTTTTATAAAGAGAAAATCGCCTCAGTGACCAAAAAAAAGTTATAATATACGATTTTAACCAACTTTTTTTGGATTTGCCAAAATGACCAACAAAATCGCAACGCGAAATAAAAATCGCAACGCGATCCCCAGAATCGCAAATCAGTTTCCAAAATCGCAACGCGATTCTTGAAAATCGCAATGCGATAGTACAAATTCGCATTGCGATTTTCCAAAATCGCAACGCGAATATGAAAATCGCAACGCGAACACATAAATCGCAACGCGTATCCGTAAATCGCAACGTGTATCCGTATATCGCAACGCGTATCCGTAAATCGCAATGCGTATCCGTATATCGCAACGCGTATCCGTAAATCGCAACGATAATCCGTAAATCGCAACGAGAATCTGTAAATCGCAACGATAATCCGTAAATCGCAACGAGAATCTGTAAATCGCAACGATAATCCGTAAATCGCAACGAGAATCTGTAAATCACAACACTGAAATTTTGGGTATATAACACTGAAATCATAAACTAAATCCCTAAATCGCAACTCATTCCATCTCCATCTATCACTCTCTCCGGCGACATCCGTTCCTATATCCAACGACATCCTTCCCAATCCGGCAACAGGTTTTAGTTTCGCAGCTCGTCTGTTTAGTAAATTAATTTACAACCATGAAATCATCTAATGTTGATCATGTTTGGATAGATTTGTGTTTTGGAGGGTCATGGGATAATGTTCATGGTGTTTTACAATATATGCCTTTACCCATGAATCTTCAACTAAAATTGTCTTTACAAAAGTTAACTTATGAAACTCTAATGCTACGTGTTTCAAATAAATTGAATTTAGAGCCCCTAAGTGGATTTAGGCTATCTTATCAGAGAAATAGTAAAGTTTATTTGTTAACCGACAATGAAGATGTTGAACGATTCATTGCTTACATTAGTGTTTCACAAGATGATGTTACATTGTATGTTGTTGAACCTAGAAGTAGTATTGTTGGGTCAGTAGCGGGTAGTAATCAACTAAGTTTTTCTCAAAACCCACAACCTTTCTCTAATCCAAATCCCAATCAACTTTCAGCACCAAATTCCGGTTTTCGTATTGACCAGTTAGACGATGATGAGCCAACAGAAAAAATTGTGAGTACTAGTCAGTATTCGAAATTTGGTCTTGGTCAATATCCGGACTTTGATATTGGTCAATACACGGATTTTGATGATGTTTCAGAAGAAGAAACAGACCCTGCGTGTAATGATTTTGATATTGGTCAATACCCGAATTTTGATGATGAAACAGCCGTTGCCGAAGAATGTATTGTTGATGATAATGAGGAGGAAGTTACGACTGTGAATGAACATGTTGAACATCCATTCTGTAATTCATATAATCCTGAAGAAGAAAAAGAAGAAGAAAAATCCCCGAAGAAAAGAAAATGCCACGGGCGTATAACTGGAATATGCCAGAATTACTTCAGATACCGGAAGAAGAGTTGGTAAAGAAAGCAGTTGATTGTTACACAAAAGTTATTCGTATCAAGAAAGATGATTGTTTTGATACAAAGGAAGACTTGAAGATAGCTTTGTATACGAAATGTGTGGAAGATGGCTATCAACTAAAAGTTAACAAATCAAGCAAAGATCGTTTCGAAACAAGGTGTATGATTGACAAAAACTGTATGTGGCGAATGATTGCAAAGAGAATAAAAGATTGCGAAATGTTTCAAGTTAGGACTTTTATTGATAAACATACATGTTCAAGAACCCAAGTTTTTCCTCACCATAGACAGGCAAACAAAAAGGTGTTGGGTGGTTTTCTGGCTGAGTTAATGTTTTTGAATGGCAGGGTATATCGGGGACATGAAATTATGACTGACATGAATGCTCGGTTCAAGATTAGTATATCATATTCTCAAGCTTGGAGAGCCAAATGTTATGCCTTGGAATTGTTGAGGGGGTCGCCAGAAGCATCGTTTGCCCAACTGCCGGCTTATTGTCACAATTTAAAGCTGAAAAATCCTGGGTCGGTAACTCATATCAAAACAGATAGAGATGGACGCTTTGAGTTGCTGTTTATCGCCATTGGTGCTACGGTTAGTAAATCAATATAATTTTGTTGACTCATTTTTGTTAGTTACATGCATTTCACATTTAAATGATTATATTTCTTGTGTATATTATTTTGTAGATTCGTTCGTTTATTACTTGCATGCGCCCAGTTATTATAGTTGACGGAGCACATTTGAAAGGTCGATACCTTGGAGTAAACTTATTAGCAGTAGCCATGGATGCTAACAATGGGATATTGCCAATAGCTTACGGGGTTGGCAAATCTGAAACCTCTGATTCATGGACATGGTTTATGGGGCATCTTAGGGATTGCATAGGTCCTATTAGCAATCTGACAATCATATCCGATAGGGCAAACTCAATTGACAACGCTGTTAGAAGGTGTTTCCCAGATGCTTTTCATGGACTTTGTGGTGTTCATTTGTATAGAAATCTAAAATCAAGGTCTGCTGGTATAAAAAAACACAAATGGACATACTGGAAGGCTGTAAAAGCTTATCGGGGAGTGGATTTCAATAAGCATATAAATTGTTTAAGACGTGTTTTGCCTCAGTGTGCTCAAACACTAGAAGATGTCGGGTTTGAAAGATGGTCAAGAGTACATCAACTTGGAGCAAGATATGGTTTCATGACGTCTAATAGTGCAGAATCAATCAACGCTCTAAGTCGTCATTCCTGGAAATTACCCATTACTATGTTAATGGAGTTTTTCGAGTCTCTATTCAACAGTGGTACTACAAGAAAAGAAACCATGCAGGTATTATTTCTTTGAATTCGTAACTTATCATATTTATATATTTTACTAAGTATTGTTTATTTAAATTTACAGGAACATTGGAACATCGTGTTACACCATGGACTGAAAAAAAGATAACGAAACGTGTTGTGAAGTCAACGTCATGGAGAGTTGAACCATGTTCAAACACTTTGTTTCAAGTACTGGATAATAACTTAAATGGGCTAGTCGATCTAAATGCAAAGACGTGTAGTTGTATGAAATGGCAAACATCTGGTTATCCGTGTGGCCATGTTATAAAAGTTGCTTTTCATTTAAACCAAGATGATTCAAGCGCATACGCTATGGATTGCTACACTACAGAAGTTTATCGACAGACTTATGCCGAGATTGTCTACCCTATTCCACATCCTTCTGAGTGGGACATACCAGATGACTTACAAACAGTTTTGCCACCAGCCATAGACAGAAGGCTACCTGGCCGACCAAAAAGTCACGATCGTATACCGTCTAAGGGTGAAGAGAAGAAGAGATCGACATGTAGTCGGTGCAAGGAAAGTGGTCATACAAGGTTGACATGTGGATCACCAGTGCCATCAAAATCATCTTTTCCTC